CAGTCTCTGCCATCCACAGGTTGCGGCCAAATGAAGCATCTATCTTATAATACACGAAAAGCGGCTGCTTTCTAATTGTACCCATTTTTGCGGGTCCTTATTTGGCTGACATATAATCATCCGGGGAAAAAATAGAAGGAATGATAAACTATTGTACATTGCTTTTAATAAGAATATTTGACATGGCGGCAACCGGGAGATAATTTTTACACATATCTTCAAGTTAAATTACCAATGAGTTTTTCAAAGCAAATCCCAAAATCACAATTGCACAAATCAACAAGACAACAACAGACTATAGAAGTCTTTCAATTTGATACGAACATCCACCACTTTTATAATGCAAACCCATAGATAATGGTGTAATGTAAGCCACCAGTCTGAGAGGATAGAATCTATACCTGCACATTTTGAAGCCAAATAACTATAATATATATATTTAATGTTCTAATCAGCTTAATTTTTTTTATTTTTTTTTTCTTTCACAAGAAAATATTATCGTTAATGGAGAACCCAAAAACATATTTTCTTCACGCTGATCCAGAAACAACCCAAACATAGAATAAGTCTATCCAAGCTCTGAATAAGAAACAGAACAATGCACGCATTGGCCAAAAACTGAAGAGGAGGAGCCAGATACTCCATGCGAATAAAAACCCACCGAGAATACAGTAAATCAAACAACCCCTTGATACCTAATGGACTTGCAAATATGTATTCAAGTTGTAGTTTTGGAGCACCAAAATGCCAGCCTTTAAAATACGCCGAAATTTCAAAAACCAACAAAACCACAGAGAGCCAAAGGAACAATTTTATGCAGGAATAAAACCTGCTCTTCAAAGCTCGGTTCTCGTTCTCTCTGCCCCTCTCAGTGTCGACGTCGGTGCGGCCGGAGGCGACACGGCGGCGAATGACGAAACCGAGAGAGAAGAATGTACAGGCAACGGAGGTTAAACAACCGGCGGCCTTGTGGGCTTTAAAAGAAGAACCTAAGTGAGTTGCTTGGCGTTTTTGTTACGGGATTTGTTCTTGCCATTTGAGAATAAGAAATCATATTCAGATGGGGCTTCAAGTTCCACCATTGACCAGTTTGGATTCTCAATCTTGACCACGACAGGAGTGCCTCTATGAGACTTTTTTTTATTTTCCACCAAGCCATCGCCAGAGTTTTTAGAAAAAAACCGGAGATATCGAATTTTAAATTTTTATTTTTTGCGCCTTCAATTGACCATCCTACCCTTTTTTAGAACGGATTTTTTACCATCCTGTCTTCCTTCAGAATGGATTTTACTAAGGGATCTGGCCTGTGAGTGGGAAAGTATTGTTTTGAAACTTTTAGGGTGGGAAAGGGTTATTCAGCCAAACCTTGGGTGGGCTATGTCGTTTACATCTTTTTAGGGGTGGGATAATTCGATTAACCAAACTGGATTAGCAAAATCAAAAACCGAACCGGTTATTCGGTTTAGAGAAAATGTAAATTGAAAACCGGACCGGTTTCGACTATAAACCGGTTGAAAACCGAGCGAACCGAATATTCGGTTCGGTTACTGGTTAACCAGTTTTCAAATTAATCCCTAAAATTCTTCAATGTTTCATTTAAATCCCTAAATTCAAATATTTATTATTTTATATAAATAATAAACCCGTTAAAAATGTTAAGTTTGACCTGAGGAAGAGGAAGTCGGACACATAGCTACAAAAATTGAAGAATCCAAAATCTGTCTACACATACGTTTCATGAACTAATGGAGGCCCTTAAGACACAACCAAAGAATCAACAGCCACTCCACTTGTCTTTAGATCAAGCTTTTCAATAAAATTCAAAGGAATCTCCTACTATCAATCTATAAAAAGAAAGAAAGAAAAAAATAGCAGTTTCTTACTGAATCTGCCATTCAATCCTCACGAGTTCCACCTTAAAACAATAACGATGCTCTATTTCATAATTTCTAACTGGGATACAAGCTTCCAGAACAAAACTCACCATTAAAATTAAAAAGTGGGAGGAAGCTGAAAGTGAGCTTGACAAAATGGTAAAGTTAAAGCTCTAAGGATATGGATATTGTTATGCAATTAACCAAGAAACGATCACAAGCAACCAAGAAACAAGAAAGCACACACACAATCAACACAGGATTTTTACTGTGGTTCAATTGCCCTATTTGAGCAAGCTACATCCATGTTGAACTCCGAAAAAGGGAGTTCGCTGCACTATGATTATAGAACAACCTCTTACAAACACGATTACAAGAATACGCCCAAGAAACCCTGGATCAAACAACTCTGATTCAAAAAACCCGTAATCTGCCCTAGGAATACTTTAACCTGGAAATTCCCACAACAAGAACACATAAGTTCTTCCCTGGACTGATTAACCCAATATCACTCAAGAAACCCACAGATTACTACAGAAATTAGACCAAAAAATAAGAACCCTAAACAGATCGAAGAATACGAAAACGAAGGGTCTCTCTCTTGTGTTTCTCTACTGTTTATGAGAAGACTTGACTTTTTTATAGCGTTGACTGGAGGCTTGATTTCATCTGTTAGATCTTTCTCTGAATCAGCAGTCAGGATCATCTTGGAGTTGTCTCAAAACGGCACCGTTCCACTAATTCAATACGTCATCGGTTCAGCATTCACTCATAACAGATATTTTTTGTTATTTTTGTAAAACAGGAAAAAAAATTAAGAAAGAAAGAAACTCAGTTGAAGGGTGCTACTGCTGGACTGTCGGCGAAACGCGAAATGGATGCTAAATGGTGTTGCTGCTAGACTGTCAACTCACTGTGGGTGGAGCTGCTAGGTGCTGCCGAAGGCGAAGTGCAAAGAATGAAAGAAATGAAGACTTGAAGATGGAATGGAGTGAGTGGAGTCTGCTGTGTGGAGTGTGTACTGTGCAGATTGGAGCTTGGAGGTGGAGAAGAGAAGCAGAGATAAGAGAATATTGAAAAAAAAAAAATAAGGGTTTGCTTATATACTTACTTAGGGTATAAGTGTATAACCAGTTTTAAAAACCGGCCGGGTTAACCGGTTTGAGATATTTCTCCAAACCGAAAACCGAATTAGTTTTTCAATTGGTTTTTTGGTTTTTTACATTTTGTAAACCGAATACCGAACCGGTTTATAAAAAAACCTAATTTTCAGTTCGATTTCCAGTTTGGATCGGTTTTCGGATTATTTCTCCCACCCCTACTTTATCTTAAAACAGGGGTGAAACTAGCTAAATTTTTTATAATATCCTCCAAAGTCTTAAAGCAAGGGTATATATGTCTTTCTCACCCTTACTTGAAATTGAAACAGTTATTGACTAAAACAATGGATGTAACATTGTTGAAGTCTGCATCAGCTTCTCATACCTACATCATATCGTTATTCACAACTATCAAAGTGCTTTTGAGTTTGGTTCCTGCCTTCCTTCAGAAGCTTTGCTTTGCTTCTGAACTTCAACAAGGTATCTTAATTTCCTGTTGTCACTTTTCTTTCTTAAGGTTTTTTCTTTTCTCCCCTGCTTTGCCATTATGTTTGCATTCCTTTGCATCAGCTTCTCATACTTGCATCATATCGTCATTCACAACTATCAAAGAGCTTTTGAGTTTGGTTCCTGCCTTCCTTCAGAGGCTTTGCTTTGCTTCTGAACCGCAACAAGGTATTTTACTTTCCTGTCGTCATTTTTCTTGCTTAATGTTTTTTCTTTTATCCCCTGCTTTGCCATTATGTTTGCATTCCTTTGCATCAGCGTCTCATACTTACTTCATCTCATCATTCACAGCTATCAAAATCTTTTTGTTGAATTTAATAACATTGAAACTATTATTTCCTATATATTTTGGAAAGTTTACCTCGAGATGTTTTTTGTAGGTTATTTTTCCAAGCTTGGAGTAGATGTTTCTCTCACACTTGGATAACTTTACTCGAGCATTTTACTGGTGAGTTAACCTTACACATGAACTGTTCGATTCTGGATTTTTTCCAAAGTGATCAAGATATAATTTAGAGTATAACATATATCATACTTTGACAATCACAATTTAATTTCTAACTTGCTGAAATCCAAGATTGGTGCGATCAATTTTTTTGTTTCTGGCATGGCATGAAATTTGATTGGTTTTAACTTCATGTTTTTAGTTTAACTGTAGCAATCTCCAGACACTGTCCTAATAAATTGGCATACGCAAAGTAACTATTGGTAAGTTTGTAATTGAACCTAATAATGAACCAAAAATTGTATGTTAATTTCTGTATTTCGTCTATTTTGTGACTTCAATATGCTATGTTTATGATATTACAGAATGCGCAGAGTTCGAAGGAAGATTGAGGTCATTCTTGGTATGCAAGCTGGGGTACGTAGGACTAGTTCTTTATATTGTTTCCCGAAGATGAAGGACTTTGTTTCTGCTATCTTCATTGATGTTGTCCTGAAATTTGATTGAGTAGTTTTAATAAACATTTATGGTAATTTTAATTTGTAATAAATTTGTGTAGAATATGAGTATAATAGTAATATCTATAACAGAATAATTATATACATAGTCGTGAGAAAATAATGCGATCCATTACTATATAGTGTAGAGACGTGATAGTTGTAGGGTCCTTATATTGACTGATACTTGGATACTGTTCAAGTTTCAATTTTCATTTGGGATGTAGAAGCATAACAGGTGCTAATCTCTCTAATTAACTGGTTGCCTTTTGACTGCTAGCTTTGAATTGTCGCTAGAAAACAATTGTTCGATTACTATTTAGTGAAGAGATGTCAGTGCCCTTGGTATATAATTAGACTGATCCTGGGTACAATTCAAACTTCAATTTCCATTTGGTTGTTGCCTTTTGACTGCTAGGTTTGACTTGTGGCTAGATAGCCCTCGCACCAGAGAAGAAAAATTCCACAAGAGTAGCTAGTTGTAGGCCAGCATGTTGCAACTAAAACAAATCTTTTTTTTAACACTTTAATTATATATATAGTTGCTTTGTTGCGTTTTCTCTCCGCTTCGTGATTTTGAAAAGAAATTCCTGACCATGAAAGATAGCATTGTTATCTATCCTTCTCCAGGAAGAGGCCACCTGGTTTCCATCACAGAGCTTGCTAAACTCATACTAACTCACTATCCTTCCTTCTCCATCACAGTCATTATCCCTGAAGCGCCTTTCGAAACTGGCTCCACCTATGAATATGTTGAATCCATCTCCGCCACCGTCCCCTCCATCACTTTCCACCACCTTCCCACCACCACCACCACCACCACTACTTCTGCCACCACCAGCTCCTCCTCACTTGACATTCAAACTCAAACCTTCGAGTTGTCTCTCCAAAACAACCACAACTTTCACCAAGCTCTCTTACTTATCTCCAAGTCCCCCACTATCAAGGCCTTGATATTGGATTTCTTTTGCAACCCTTCTTTTAAAATCTCAGCAATTCTCGAAATCCCCACCTACTATTACAAGCCTGGAGGCCTCAGCAGCCTTACTGTGTTTCTTAACCTTCCAACAATTCACAAGAACACCACAAAGAGTTTAAAAGAACTCGGCAACGAGGAAATTAACATCCCCGGCATGCCAGTTCCTTTGAGAGCAAAAGACATGCCCTATCCCATGCAAGATCGCACTCGAAAAGTTTACCACTACTTCCTAGAGACTGCCATTCAGATGCCCAAATCAGCTGGAATCATTGTAAACACAGTTGAAACACTTGAAAAAACAGCTCTTAACGCAATATTAGACGGACAGTGCACACCTGGACAGCCAGCTCCACGTATTTATTGCATAGGGCCGTTGATAGTGTCAGGTGATGGCAGTCGAAGTGGTGAAAGTAGGCATGAGTGCTTGAATTGGCTTGACATGCAACCAAAAGGAAGTGTTGTATTCTTGAGTTTTGGTAGTTTGGGGAAGTTCTCGGCCCCGCAATTGAAAGAAATTGCTTTAGGGTTGGAGAAAAGTGGAGTGAGGTTCTTGTGGGTGGTTCGTCCGCCTGAAGGTGCGGTTGATGCAAACTTGGAATCATTGTTGCCACAAGGGTTCTTGGAGAGAACAAGAGATAGAGGATACGTGGCAAAATCTTGGGCACCACAAGTTCAGGTACTGAGTCACGAGTCTGTAGGTGGATTTGTGTGTCACTGTGGGTGGAACTCGGTTCTAGAAGCGATCCGTGGTGGGGTACCAATGTTGGTTTGGCCTCTTTATGCAGAAAACAAATTGAATAAGGTGAGTGTGGTGGAGGAGTTGAAGGTGGCTTTGGCTGTTGAAGCTGAAGATGATGGATTGGTGAGTGCAGAGGAGTTGGAGAAGCTAATTACTAAGTTGATAAACTCAAATGAGGGAAAATTGATCAAAGAGCGGGTGATGGGTTTGAAAGAGGAAGTGTCGGTGGCACTCAAGGAAGGAGGTCCTTCTCGCGTTGCCTTGGCTAACTTGATCGAATCAATTCTAAAGAATTAGACGTTAAAGTTGAATGTTTTTTTTTTTTTGTTTTTTTAATTTATAATGTTTATACGGTTTGAGATATAAAATTCAGGTTGTATTGGCTACTAAATATATGTGCGTGAAAATCAATCCAAGCCTCTCATGTCAATCCAAATAAGTGTAATGTATAAAGAATTGAAATCATTTACAATGAAATTATGACTAAAATTGGAGGGACGCACCAGGCCCATGCAGTAGTGCAACATTGGTAAGGGCGACGCTTGAGGACTCCAGACGCAAGCTACTTTGATGAGACTACATTAAACTGATAAGAACAAATACTAAACTGACTCTTCAACTTAATTATTTATCATATTGTGAAAGAAATTAGTATATACTTGGAAATGAGGTAGGAAAAGAGGAAAAAAAATAAGAAAGGGAAATTAATATTATAATAGAAATGAGAAGAGTAAGAATTATATAATTATAAATACAATTGAAGAAAATATATAATATATATGAGTAATTAAGTTTATAATAAGAAAATAAAATATATAATTATAATTCAACATCATTTTATAATTGTGATGATATAACTTTAAAACCATTGATGTTACTGGAAAGGTGTATTCTGTCGTGAGAAGCTCAAATTGCAATAGATTAAATAGTTTAATGAATCTTAATCATTTTCCGTTTCAGGTACAAAATCAATTAACTACTATATAGAACTCAATGAATTAGTTTAATAAATATTACTGGAAGCTGATAATGCAAAATGATTTTTTTTTTTTAATTTATAGAGTGGATATGTTTAATAAATATTTTTGTCTTGCCTAGTAATTAAATATTACTGGAATGTGTTCGATCAGATTGTGGATTTTAAGGTCATGATTAAGACTAGCCAGGCAGACAAGTGCTTTGGACACTACACTTTTGCCTTTGGATGGCTTCACCAAAGAGATGAACTCCATGGGCTCGATTCACCCATGACGTTTGATGAAATTGATACAATTCGCATATTCTAAAAAGTGACAGTTTGTACCCAAATATTTTCAAGAAGCCGCTCAATCGACGAGCCAATTAGAAGATGATGGGCTACTGGTGGAAGTATGGTTAGCCATTGGTTGTTGCATGAGTTTCTTTTCCGTGTAGCATTGCTTTGCTGTATGACTTTTCTTCTCACAGAATTGGCAAACAACAAGCCGCTGATTTTTTGCCAACTGGTTGAAGTATCCACCATTTTCCTTATATCCACAGTTGGTTGCCTTCTTGCCATTATTGAACTGATTATTTCCATTTTTTGATGAAACTTCTGATTTATGAAATTTAGGTGCTATTCACTATGATTGGAGGAGAGCCAGAGCGAGATTTCTCTCGTTTCAGAAAGGTTTCATGCTTCACAAGTTTATAGTGAAGTTCTTCGAATGAATTTTGGATTGTCTCACGACCGAATTGTAGCCGATATCTCCCTTAAATCCATTCCCAAGTCTATTAAGATCAAAAATAGTCAGACCATCATCATTCAATGGAGCATCAATGATAGCCAATTCATCAGCAATGCTTTTAATGGTTTGGAGATGTACAGTGACTAGCTGAGTTCCACGAGTGATCATTGTGAGTCTCTTCTTCAGATTCATAACTCTTGATGTTGAGTTGTTAGCATAGAGTTTATGAAGCCTACTCCAAGCACTATGAGAGGTTTTCGTAGATGCTACGAGCGGCACTATTGGGTCACAGAGTAAGGCCAAAATTGCATGGAGATGAAGCTTGTCCTGTTGATTACACAGAGCAAACTTTAGGCTTTGAATTGATTGCCCTTATTTAGCAACGTCTTGTGGTACAGAAAGGTAAATTTGAACGCAAGAGGTGGACTCTCATTTTGTGTTGGGCTTGGGGATGAATTTTTTGGCGGGTAAATTTTTTAGTGGTTTCTTTGATGTAGGGATTATTGAGCTTGAAGTGTCAGTGATATGGGTTGACATGGGTGTCCGGCTCTTCTTAATTGTGCTCAATGAGGCATTAAGACAAGCTAGTCACCCTGTAAAACAATAGAATGAAAAATAAAAACATTGGTTAAAACCATGTACCAACCCTAAAGTATTCGAAATTATATTAGGTACAAAAGTTGGGCATATTTCACAAACATATCCCCTATTGCCAGTTTTGTTTGCCCCCATAGATTGTGTAAAATTGCTACAATTTTTTAACCCATACACTTTAATGTTTCTTCTACTGTTCTACATGATCAAATTCTATTTCTATCTACATGTAAATAAAGTATCACAAATTTTCTTGAATTTTTTTAACCTATTTCGTATTAAATCAATTAATTTTTTCAACGAAATGCAGAGACAAGAGAGAACAAATCAATTACACCTCACCACCAGAGATGAAATCAATCAGAACGCTTCTCTCCGTATTTTCTCTATAATTCTCAAATGATACCCAACTTTCTTTGTAAAGCTTGTGAAGAGAGGAATTTTGCAGAAATTATGTGAATTGTTCGGATTACAGCAGAATTCATCTTCTTTCTTGAAGGAATAACTTATTGCAGAAACTAATATTGACGCAGAGATGAGTTTTGGGGAAAAAATATTCACACACTTTATTGAATGCACTGTTTTCCTTTATATACAAAATTAGTCAACTAAGCTAGTCTGAGCTAGAGTGCAGTAGCCAACTGATTAACTATAAAATAAAGTATTGCAATATTAAACTTGATTTGACTATTATACCCTTATTCCTCTAATACCCCCCCTCAAGTTGGAGGGTGGTAAAGATCAAGCACACCCAACTTGTGTAGCATGTGATAATGAAGACTCTTGCCAAGAGCTTTAGTAAGGATGTCAGCCGGCTGTTCTGATGAAAAATATAGCAGTGTTAATCAGTCCATTCTTGAGTTGCTCCCGGACTATATGACAATCAATGTCAGTGTTTAGTCCTCTCATGGAACATCGGATTGGAAGCAATGTGATTAGCTGCTTGGTTGTCACAATGAAGAGTACAGGAGTATATTGGAAAAACCAAGTTCTTTTAATAGCTGAACTATCCAAATTACTTCACATACCGTGGATGCCATAGCCCTATGTTCTGCCTCAGAAGAAGACTTGGAAATAGTGGCTTGACGTTTAGATTTCCAGGAGATCAGTGAAGAACCAAGAAATATACAAAATCCAGTGACAGACTTCCTTGTCATCAAACAAGAACCCCAATCAGAGTCAGTGTAGGCTGTTAAAGACAAAGCATTCACAGCAAGGAAAAAAGTCCCACCCTGGAGCAGATTTCACATATTTCACCACCTTAAGGGCTGCTGTCATGTGAGATTCTTTAGGTTGATGCATAAACTGGCTTAGGATACCAATTGAGTAGCTAAGATCAGGCCTAGTCATTGCACAAGTACAATTTCCCAACCAATCTTGATAAACAGCAGGATCAGTTAACAAAGGATCATTACCAACACTATCAGTGGAAAATTGATTATCATATACTGCTGAAGTGAACTTTAAATGGGTTCCATGGGAATAACAGATGGTTTGGAGCCGGACAAACCTGATTCAGCAATAAGCTCTAGTGCATACTTTCTCTGACATAGGCTAATTCCCTTAGAAGATCTAGCCACTTCAATCCTAAAAAATACCTCAACATGCCTAAATCTTTCAGCTTAAATCTGGAGTGTAACAATTGCTTTGTTTGAGTGATCATATCATGGTTATTCCCAGTTATCACAATATCATCTACATACAGTAATACATGACAATGTGTGATTGTTGCCTCTTAAAGAATAGAGAATAATCTGATTTGGACTATTGAATCCACCATCCAAAGAGCTGTGGTTAACTTGTAATTCCAAGCTCTAGAAGCTTGTTTCAACCCATAAAGAGATTTATGAAGCCTACACACAAGATCCTTCCCCCTTTGCTTCGGAAATCCTTGAGGCAATGTCATATAAATCTCCTCTTGCAAATCCCCTTGCAAGAAAGCATTATCGACATCAGCTATAAGCGGCCAATTATGCATTGAAGCTAAGGCCAAAATTGTCCTAACAGTGACCATTTCACAACTGGAGAAAAGGTCTCCTCATAATCAATCCCACTGCTTGTTTGTGTACCCTTTGGCAACCAAACGAGCCTTATATCTGTCCAAAGTACCATCAGCCTTATACTTAAGTTTATACCCCCATTTACAACCAATGGGAACCTTGCCAGGAGGCAAAGGTATTAAAGACCAGGTATGGTTGTGCTCTAAGGCTTGGATTTCTTTCTTCATAGCATCTATCCAATTCTGATCCCTAGAAGCTTGAGAAAACTGGTGGGTTCAACCAAAGATAGATTGGACAAAAAGCTTTGTATGAATAGGAGACATTACATAGGAGACAAAATTGGTGATAGGATACTTGGAAAAATTGGCTGTAGGATTATGTTTAAGTGTAGGACAAATAAAGTCTTGTGTCCATATGGAGGTTGTGTGTGTCTGTTGGATTTTCGAAGGATAGGAGTGAAGCAGTAGAAATTTCAGGTGAGAGGAAGAACCCGAGGGTTGAATCAAGGGAAGAAAATGGAATAATAGGAGCTGTAGAATCTGGACGCTGGACAGTAGGTGAATAGGTTCTGTAGAAGGTGAATGTGTTGAGTCTAAATCAAGAAAATCTGAATTAATGGAAAGGAACCTGGGATGGCTTAGACAAGGCAAAGGAAAAATGTTTTCATAGAAAACAGCATCCCTGGTTAAAAGACAGAATGTGAAGATAAGTTGTAAAGAATATATCCTTTTTGTGTGAAGAATAACCCAAGAAACTGATGGAATAGCTCTAGGATGCAACTTGTCTTTTGAAGGAAGAAATGTAGCATAGGCTAAAGATCAAAAACCTTTAAATGATCCAAGGAAGGAGGTTTATCAAAGAATGTTTCAAAAGGAGAAAGACCTTTAGAACAACTGTGGGAAGTCATTGATTATATACACAGCAGTTTGCACACAATAGCCCCCAAAATGAGTAGGTATATTAGACTGAATTTTTAAAGCTCTAGCAACTTCTATATGTGCCTGTGTTTCCTCTCAACATACCATTTTGTTGAGGGGAATAGCACAGGAGCTTTGATGAATAATTCCTGCTACTCAATAGACCATGACACTCTTGTTGAAGAACCT